TATTTATTTGTTTATGGGACACCGCCACCACCCTTAAATGTCATAACTTTACCTTGTAACATAGTTCTGTCATATATAGGTGCTCCATACATATTTGTTAAATGAATGTGTGATTTTTATGCCCAAGAGCAAGTTAATATATGTTTCTGTTTCCTCCATGGTAAAATCAGTTTGCTATTGTTTCATGTGATATTAGTAAGAGCATTCAAGAAAGTAACAGACAACATAAGTGAACCTTGAAAGCTATGCTAAGGGAAAGAAGCAAGATGCAAAAGGCTACATATTATATGATTATATTTATACGAAGTGTCCAAAATAAGCAAATCCATAGAGACAGAAAGTAGATTAGTAGATCAGGGACTGGGGGAAGGAGAGAATAGGAGTGATTACTAAAGGGTATGTTTTTTTAGAGTGAGAAGAATGTCCTAGAATTAGATTGTGGTGATGGTTGCACAATCCTGTAAATATACCAAAACCACTGAATTTTACACTTTAAAAAAATGGTGAATTTATAGTAAGCAAATTGTATCTCAATATTTTTTTAAATGGAGCACTATTTTCCTTACCTTTTATCTTTAACTATACTCCCAGCTAATAATCATGGAATATCTCAATGAAAAAGAAAATGTTTTAAGGGAACCTTTAAGAGAGGATTGAAGATGCAAATAAAAAGCTTGACCGCCGTTTCACTGGGCAATTGCCAGAAATTCACATACCAGATCCTAGTTTTTCAACAATTTTCTATTTGAACTCTACATAGTCAATAAATACTATTGGCTTCTTAAAGTTGACATTTTTTTTTTTAACTAAATGAATTAAAATACCAAATGAATTTAAATCTGGAGTTAAATAAACAAAAAGACTTTTCTGATCCCCTCGACCTCTCACTATCAAGGAAACATAAGCATTTTTAACATTTAGAAATAACAACTTTCTTTCATTTCCTAATGAAAGAAAACTCATGATTCTTTTATGTAAACAAAACCAAAGAGCATTACTTACACTCAGAAGCAAGAAACTACTGAGGAAAACCATAATTACACTGAAAGAGATAAGTAAACACATCTTTAGCCTGTTGTATTCTTTTGCCTGAGGATTTTCTCTAAGGCACAGGATAAGGAGCTACATCTTACCTAACCTTTGGAATAACAGGGAACCAAAAAAAGAACAACCCAAAGCTTCCGGAAAACTTCTCTCCTGATTAAAATCATCTTGTGACTATTCGATTATATGTAAAGAGGGAACTTCAGATAAGCACTTATTAACTATTTCAGGTAATCCAGAAAAGAATACAAGACTCTCTTTATTACATAAAACCAGTTATTTCCCCCTCCAAGCTCATTTTTGTTAGAGAACATGTAACTGTTAATACCTCCATGGTTTTACTTTAGAAAAAAATCTTGATTTTATTTCAGTTGCTATTTTAATTTGTGGTATACCCATCAATTATGACACATACAAGAAAATGGGATATAGTATATGCAAGGCCAGGAATATCCATTCAGTGTAGAAATGGTAGATTTTAAGAAAAATGTGATGGACTGAATATTTGTGTCTCCCCAAATTTCATATGTTAAAGCCCCAATATAAAGGTATCTGGAGGTGGGGCTTTTAGAAGGTAAGTTATGAGGGTAGAGCCCTGGTCTGATGGGATTAGTGTCCTTATTAGAAGAGATACCAGACAATTTGATCCCTTAATTAAGAGAAAATAAGAGCCTACAGAGTCATTACCAACATTACTATGGCAACAGAAGGGTCAGGACCCTATGAAAACTGAGTAATTGCTCTGAAAAAAATCTAAAGAAGACCTTCATGCAAAGACAGCTTAATCTCACACATCTACAGCAGGGTCCAAATTCAGTGCTCACCAGGATCAGGCAGGTCTTGCCAATGAGTGTACCAGCCTAGGGATAGCAACCAGAGAAGGGAGAAGCCATTTAACCATGGTTATTCATGCCTGAGGAGGACCTAAGCCCAGTTTTCCAAGCTTCTAATACAAATTCCTTCATTTTTATCTAATAAAAGTGATGCTTTCTTTAAAATTATAGATAACTTGGAAAATATAGAAAAGCAAAGACAAGTGAAAAAAAATCTCATATAACCTCTCCCCCACCCCACACACATATACCCACAACTATTAAAGTGGAATTCAACTTCATATGAAGGATAATTGCTACTGGGAAATCATGATTTTTAATATTTCAACAACATCATTAGTATTAAAATAATATTCTGGTGGTATAGAACAATTATCTTAGAGCGTGAGGTTTTATTATAAATGTTGACATGGTATTTGCTAGCGTATTTGATCTAGGAAGGAAAAAGTAAACACTTATTTTACAATAAGAATTTAAATGACCCAAAAGGGAATGTCATTACTACCAGAATCTCTGTGAAATTACATTGAAAAAAAAAGTTTTTCTTTAAATGCAGAAGTTCATTAATCTAACAACTTTTTTTTTTTTTAACTATGCATACAAGTTGGCAACTGCATAATTACATGCCAAAAGGTTGTCCAAATAAAAAGAGAACGAAGCTCCTAAACAAAGTTCAATGCGTAAGTCAAGACTGCCTGGAGGTATGAGAAGCTTTATGTCTCTGTTTACCCCAGGAGTAAATTAAATAAATGCATATTTAATATATGAATCATAGTTATATTTGGTTCACACACTACAGGCAGAGAGAAACAAGAGAATTCTTGCTCAGATAAAAGTTATTAATAAAAACTGAACATAGAAGTCCAGATAGTTCCTCCTAGAATGCAGTCATGACAAGAACAACAAAATATCTGCAAAAAAAAAGGCAAACTAGCGTTTTGGGTAAAATGCACACTCTATCTCAATTATAAAACATGGACAGAATACATGCAGTATATTCGAGGACTCTGAAAAGTAAATAGTAGCAGATGGATTGGGGAAGACCAGAATTCGAAGGATTACCAAACTGGTGGTGAGTTTACCTTTTTTTTGTTTTCTTTCAGTACCTCTTGACCTGGATACGATGCAGCCTTACACCTGGAAGTGGGCACTGGGGCCCCCAAAAAAGGAGAGCCCCCAAAGAAGTCCCCAAGCCTCTCTCATGAAAGTGGAAGGGAACGCATAATGCTCAGAGAAAGTGCAGAAATCTTGTTTTTTGTTTTGTTTTGTTCTGTTTTCCCTTCTCAATGTTTTGTTGTACTCCAGCTCCCAAGCAGTCCTGTGATCGTGATCGTGGGGGCCACAGTGGGAGCCAACAAGAGCTAATACTCTATGGGAGGAAAACCTCCTCTGAATGGTGGCGCTGTGGCCCCAAGAGGGTGGGACCATTACCTTTTTCTCTTTTTCCATCCTTCTGCTGCTTGGCCCTGGTTCTAAGCACAGTCATACAAGTATGAAGCAAAAAGAGGTAACTAATGACTCAGCTTGGTGGCCCAAGGACCAAAAGGGAGAGCACAGAGTAACTGAAAAGAACCTGAGAGACTGTGCCATGGACTGGATGTTTATGTCTCCCTAAAATTCATGTTAAAACATAATCCCCAATGTGATAGTATTAGAAAGTGGAGCCTTTGGGAGGTAGTTGGGTTATGAGGTGGAATTCCTCATGCATGGGATTAGTGTCCCTATAAAAGAGTCCCCAAAGAGCTCACTCACCCCTTCCCGTCTACCATGTTAGGATACACAGAAAGACAGCCGTCTATGAACCAGGAAGTGGGACTTCATCAGACACCAAATCTGCGAGTGCCTCAATCTTGGGTTTCCCAGCCTCCAGAACTGTAATAAATAAACTGTTGTTTAAACCACCCTGCCAATAGCATTCTCGTAACAGTAGCTTGAACAAACTGAGAAAGATTGTTTATGAACTCCTGGGCTCACCAATGGATTATGTATATGTGCATCTGATTCTGCTCAGCATACCAATGACTTTGAGAACTGACTAACAGATACACCACGACCATGTCCCAGCTGACCACCAGATAACCCATATGCAGGACAAATCTGAAGAGTGCTGCACAGGTTTGAAAAGCTGAGCTGACATTGGAACCACAGCCCACAGAAGGTGGGTTGAAACTTGCAGCCTTAACCTAGTCAGATCGATCGTCTACTTAAAAAAAATTAACATTTTTTCTCTACAAAGTTTAAATGAGACTCAGAGTTTTGGAACATAATATTCAATGTGTCCAGGATGCCATCCAAAATTACTTGGGGTACAAAGAATGAGAAAAATCTCAACTTGCTTGGGAAAAGAAAATCAAAAGACACCAATACCATGGTGACACAGATGCTGGAATTATTTGACAAAGACTTTAAAACAGCTATTATATAAATGCTTAAATAGTTACAAACAGTCTTAAAACAAATGGAAAAATAGATTCAGCAAAGAAATAGAGCCAAATGGAAATTTTATAGAAGAAAAATACAATGACCAAAATAAAAAATAAACTTCACAGGATAGGCTCAAAAGAATGGAAAAGACAGAAAGAATCAGCATACTTGAAGCTATTTCAACAGGAATTTTCCAATCTAAACAACAGGGAAAAAGATTTTTAGAAAAATGAACAGAGCCTCAGGGGCCCATAGGTTAGTACCAGAAGGTCTTACATTCACGTCATCAGAGTCCCAGAAGGAGAGGAGAGTGTGGTGCTGAAAAAATATTTGCAGATGTAATGACTGAAAACTTCCCAGATATGACAAAAGATATAAACAGAGAGAGTTAAGAAATTCAGCTAACTCCAAACAAGACAAAGCTGAAGAAATCCATGCCCAGATGACATAATCAATCTACTGAAAACTACAAAAAAAAAAAAAAAAAAAAAAATTAAAAGAAGCCAAAGAAAAATTATGCATTAGCTTTTGTCAGACAATGATTCAAGTAACTGCAAATTTCTCATCAGAGCCATGGAGATCAGAAGAAAGCATCACAACATCTTTCAAATGTTAAAAGAAGTGATAACTCAGGATATATACGTACCTAGATATACTTTAAGAGTAAATAAAAACTTCTCAGATGAAGGAAAACTAAAATAATTCATTGCCAGTAAACTTGCTCTAAAGAATTTTTACAGTAAGTTCCTCAGACAGAAGAGAAATGATACCAGAAAGAAACTTCAAAGTGTTTCTTTAGAAAGGAAGATTATTCATTCCATTTACATTTAATTAAGTTATTTATATATTTGGATTTAGATTACCATTTTATTACTTGTTTTCTGTGTATTCCCTCTGTTTTCCTTTTAGATTTTTGAACCCTCTTTAGTATTTTATTTTTTACCTATGGTGATTTTGACTCTATAGTTTTTAAGTTGGTTTTTCTAGGGATATAATATACATACTTAACTTTTCACAGTCCACTTTAACCAGTGTTTTACCATTTTAAGTGGTTAGTAGAAATCTACCCACATATAGGTCCTTACCCTCTCCTTTAATATTATAATTCTATTATCTCTTACATCTACGTACATTGAAACCCCATTAGAAAAGATAATATTTTTTTGCTTTCAACCATCAAATATACTTTGAAGAATAGAATTTAAGAGGAAGAAAATAGTCTATTATATTTACCTAGACATACACCATTTCTACTGCTTCTTCATTTCTTCAATAAAAATATCTAGTAAGATGAAGTGGATATTTTCCCCTCAGCAGGGCTGATCTGGTTATCAACTGCTGGGAGTCTAATCTACCATCCCTGCTGGTAGAACAGCATGAGCAAGGCACAGAGGTGGGAAAGTAAAGAATGTGCTTGGGAATAGCAAGGGGTCTGCTTTGATAAGAATGTGGAGTTAGCTGCTGGGTAAAAGGAAGAGGGAGAAGTTTAACATCTAGTCAGAAGATGTGTCTGTGGCAAGACTGTGTATGAAAAGAGAAGTCTTTTCCCCAAATGGAAGTCGCAATGAAGTAAGTAGCAGTTATTGCCAAGACCTGTCAAGGCTGAAGGGAAGCAAAGATTTCATTCCCTAGCGTTATGTTAACAAAAGAATGAGCCAAACTATAAAGTCATTCTTAGTGTAAACATTCCAAAACTGCTCTTGGACAAACTCAGGGACCTTGGGATGCTAAAAGGCCCAAGAAAATGTGTGAATGAGGTCAATTACAGGTCAAGACAGAAAGGCAAAGGAGAATGAAGAAGACGAGTTATAACTAAAGAGACAATCAATGAAGAGACCACCAGAAATCTCCTTTTGGGAAGATGAGGAGCACATTTTCATCAACATTGGTAAGATGATTCACAAGTGCAAAAGCTGAAATTGAACTCATAATTTAATGAAAGGTTTTAAGAAAAATAATAGATTTCTCTCTGAATACTTAAACATCCTAAAAATATAAAATTTCATCCTGGTAATTCAATTTTGACATATATAAATAAATACTTTCACCATAAATTATCTCCTGCACCCTTTAGAGAGGCAAACATTTCTGAACCAATAAAAATAAGAAGGATCACTAATGATTTCTGATTATCTGTGGCCAGAAAAAAAGAAAGGAGTGATACTGTTCTGTGTCCTTTGAAAGACAAGTAACGGGTCAAAGTTGCTCACTTAGTTTATTTAATATGTTTTTTGAGCACGATAAATTGATTTCGAAAATATAGGTTTGATCACAAGAATGTGAAGTTCAGCATAGGGAATATAGTCAATAATATTGTAATAACTATTCATAGTGCTAGGTAGGTACTAATCGGGGGGATCACTTCATAAATTATATAAACATCTAACAATGCAAGATGGTGCCAATGTCCCCAAGTGGGGACTCAAGCCCGACACCCACCCAGAGAGTGTCCTTGACACCGCACCTGAAAACAAATGTGAGCCAGAGTTGGAGACAAAAAGAAAGTTTATTAGAGAAGGAATAACGCTCTACAGAGACGCGGTGGCCTCTCAAAGTCAGAGAATCAGACCAGGAGTGTTTGAGGAGTTGAGTTTATATCTGTTTTCTTTTCATGGTGTGGGTATGCAGTGTTAAACGCCTGGGGAAGTAGTTGTTAGTAATCTCAGCAGGCATCTTCCTCTAGGTTCCTTATGGTCTGGCTCTATGCTGATCAGTCAGGTTCCTGTGTCTAGCAGCACGTAGAAGGCTCTAATACAACCTTGTTTAATATTTAGTCAATTTATGTCATTCTTAGGCCTCTTTCCTATATTATTACCACTATGCTGTACACCTGAAACTAACAAAATAATACTGAATGTCAACTGTAATTGAAAAATTAAAAATTTTTTTTTTAAATATATGGGCTTGGTTCCACTGGCAGAGTGCAATGCCCCAAAGCTTTAGACTTAAGGAGCTGTCATTTAATTTTTGACTAGCGACAGAATTTTGGTGTAGAAAACTGCTTGATTTAATCATCATATCCACCTCTACACAAGATTTTAAATGTGGGACTCTTCTGAATTTAAACAATTTTAGCATACTTTTTCATATCTATGTGACTGTTGACTCTGAAAATCTTGCTTCTACAGTCACCTGACCCTCCCCTGCTTAAGCCCTGAGGGTCTCATTGCTCATAGAATACATTCCAAACTTCCCTCCTCAGGCTATAAAGGCTTACAAGATGTGGCTTCTGCCATCCTCACCTCATACCACTTTCCTCATCACCCTCCAGCCACACCGGCCACCTTTCTGTTTCTCAGACCTATAAACCATTTCTTGCTCAGGGACTTTGCACAAGAATTCCTCTTTGCAGAGAACACGTGGCTCGCTCTTGCTCCTCCTTCAGGTCTCAGCTCAAAAGTCACTGCAACAAAAAAATCTCTAGTCGTTACAGATATCACTAACTGTATTTTTTTTAAATTGATGTATTTTACTTGTTTTCTATCTATCTCCCTGATGAGGATGTAAGCTCCAGGGGAGCAGGGACCAAGCATAGATAGAACCCAAATTATTCTTCAAGTTTCAACTCAAATATTGTTTCTTCTATCCTCAGAGCATGGCATGTGGTCAATAGTTGGTGAACGAATGAATGAAAGGAAAAATGGAATAGGAGTGAGGCAAAGGGTAGTGGTCTTAATACAGAAACATAAATCAGACTGAGACTGTGAAAAAAAAACCAGATTTCTGGAATTGTGGCAACACTCCAAGAAATATATGGTGTCACTACTATGGTATCATTTATAAACCTTGTAGTTACTTGTTGTATAATAAATGAACAGGGCACCTATTGGTTCAGGTTGTTATGAAATTGTTCATTTACTATTAAAACTGTAGCAAATTTTAAAATCTGAAAATCTGACAATATTTGCCACTTCCCTCCATCATAGGCCTAATATAGGAGCAAATAATTGAAAGTTCCTTCAACTTGAATAAAAGCCTCTAAATAGTATCTTCAAAAAGACTGTCTTTTTTTAAAACAGGAAGGGTATATAAGTCATTGTTTAACATTGAATAATTAACTATTTCTACCACAAGGGAGCCAGATCTATTGAAAGTATATCTCTTAAGATATCTTGCTATATGTATTAAATATTAGTTTTAAAATAACTTGTAAATATAACTTTTGCTTTATAGAGTGTTAACATTAATAAATAATCAATGAAATGCACATTAAGGAAAATAATTTTTGATAGTATATATGAAAACAAACAGAAACTGCAGAACAGAATGACCCAGTTATTCTCCCCACTTTAAAAGAAGAATGCCATACTGATAAGGGCTTTTGTTAATAGAAAGTGCCAACTGCTGGAGATATTAAAACTATTTATATTATTTGTTGAATGGAAATCTTCATCTTGCTTCTAATTATCCCCCCTGCAATAACCTGACAATGGCCTTCATAATAATAACTTACATTTTTATAACACATGGTATGCAATCTGTCTTTATTTAAGAAGTAAAAGAACAAATCTTAGCTCTTAGGAATTTACTTTCCAATCATGAATATCAAAGATGGCTCCAATTTTAGAGTAATCTTTTTCAATAGGCTTTCTGTAATGACTGAGTATCAATACTGATACTCAATCATGAATATCAAAGATGGCTCCAATTTTAGAGTCGTTTTTTTCTTCCCCCCACAAATTGAAAACAGTTCTCTGAACTATCAAGAAAACGCTAAAAATTGAAATTTTTTAATGGAAATGTTAAAATCATAAATTACACTAGGGAGAGCCATCTCTATGTCATCTAAAAATCATTTCAAAGAGTAAAACACAATCCCCAAGAACAGAACTCTTGTGCTCAGGCCAAAGGGCATCCATCAAGTGCATGTGCTAGTTTGTTGTTTTAGGGCTGCTCTTGAGAACATGGGTTATAGGAAAGAGACTTGTTCCCATTGGCTGCTATAAATAAAATTTGAATCATTATATCATCTCTGAAGAAGGATTTATAGAAATACCAGGCATAGTTTCAAGTATAGCAATCTATACAAGTACCTCTCTAAATATATGTCTTGGGATTGTTGCTAAGCCAGGTAATAAGGGGCATTCCCACTTTTGCTAAGGCATATTTGTGTGACAGACTAGACCCAATTTAGGCACTTATTTACAGGCCAAAGCCTGCAGGCCTTGAAAGGAGAAAGCAGGTTGCTCACCCAGCCTGGCCTCCAGCTCCTAGGTAGCTGTGTAATCCCACTGAACCTGTTTGGCAACTTCCTCAGTCACTGCTGCAGCTTGCAGATAAGACCCTCTTGGAAAGCCTGATAGCCCTTGTCAATAAAGAAACTGCAGAGAGCAACTGGAATTTTCTAAAGCATCGAAACAGATTCTCTGACTTGAAAGAGTATTGATACTCAGTCATTACAGAAAGCCTATTGAAAAAGATTTTTGTTAAGGAAAGATAGTTGACAATTCTTTGCTTCTTTAAGTCATACACAAATCTCAAACTTAGCTTGATCATAAACAACCATTGTTTGTTTACCTCTTGCATCACTGAAGCAAAATGAGTCATGATAGCCATAGGAACAAGACTAACATTGGATTTCCGCTGCTCTTTTTCAGCAATAGGTTGGAAAATGTTATACAAACAGGCTTAAGTTTCACAATTTCCCTATTGGATAGGTATTGCAGATCCCATTTTTGACATTAGCATGACTTTTCTTGCCTGCAGGAAGGCATATTGGGCCTAAACCAGGGACCAAAGGAGTGTTCAATCTGTAATTAAGTGAGGCTTCCAGCCAGAGGAGGAATGGAGCTGTCTATTGCTGAACTAACCCATGGTTCCGTACTAACATGTCCCTCTCAGGGACTAGAGAATGTTCCAGACATTCTGCTAAGTCTATACTTTTTGCTTTCAGAACCCTGGTCACTAAAGAGAGATTACATTTATTAAAACTAGTTGACAATAACCTTTTCACTGTGAAAGAAAATAAGTTACCGGAACATAACACTCAAAACCTTGAAGATGTTTCAGTCAGAGAAGAAAGAAAAAGGCTGAGTGGGTAGACAATGGTAAGAGGGTTGGAATGTAGAAGCCCAAGGGAGCCAGGAAAAAGAAAAATTTGGTGTATGTGTCTAGTTAAGCCGTTTGAAACAGTGCCCTATCTCACCATGTCTGATCACTCATGGGCTTTTTCTGATAGTGTTTTCACTGATAACTGTCCTTTCTCTGTAATATCACTTTTTAGTCTAAGGGGTAGAGTTCCTTTCGAGATTGTAATTTCGCTTTTCTTTTCTAAACAGGTTTTCACCTGTTTAAAAGAAGTTACATATACATGTGAATGGACTCACAGCATAATAACTGAGAACACTATAAGTTCTTTGCGTTGCTGCCATAGTGAGATAAAGCACTTTAATAATAAGTTTGCTGTAGTAATTTGATGACCACGAAGTACAATCAAGTTTAAGGAAGGAGGGAGGAGAATAAAATCATTAAATAGCAGGTCCTGAAGGAAAACACCAGGACGTAAGGATGTGGGTGGGTCACTGGAGAAAGAAAATTAAAAGATTTCATTAAAAGTATGAAAAGAAAATAAATCTTTTAACAAGTATAGCTCTTTTGAATCACAATGAAAACTTGCTCTCTCAAATAGAAAAACACAAATGAAATGAAAAGGTTTTTGCTATATTTTATTATCAATGGGCAAAAACTGGAAAAAATCTTTAAGTTACTTAAATCTTTGTTTTAAATCAAATTTAAATAAATTGATATTTCATATTGTTTATTTCCATGAGAACATTTCAAATTTCTCCCTAAATTAATATCTAATTTAACTAGAACTTTGTTGAAGATTTTCATTCATTTATTTATTTTCCCCATAATGAAAATAGTTTTATGTTTTTCTGATGATATAAGTAATACAGTTATAAAAATTTAAAAACAACATATAAACATATAAGGAATAAAAGTAATAATGACCTGAAATCTCATCATCCTGCCTGGGATAACCACTGTTAACATTTTGGTGCCCATCCTTTTATGCATCGCACATATCTATATACAAATTTATGTAAATAAAACACAGATGTATTATCATTACTGTGGCACTTAAAATTTTTTTCTCAAAAATATTGCTCGCTTGGCTGT